AGGCATGACGAAGCAGATATAGTCCTCTTTTGGAAGACCAAACAAAGTAGTTTCGCTTTCACAACGAAACACACAGAACACAAACACACACACACACACATTTTCACGACATGGTGGCAGCAACTATTGTTGAACTACAGCGAGAGTAAAAGTTACGCCTTCTTTCTTTGCGTGAACATTTGGGCGGCGTTATGCAAATCTTTCCACATCGTGACGTAGACATGTGGGGGCGTGTTAGAACGAGCCGTTTTAGGTAGGCATGGTTGACTCTTAACTTTTATAAAGAATATCTCTTTGGATTTGAGACTTTAGTCTGTGCAACTTTACAGATCTTCTTTATGCACCAAGAGCTTGTAACACTTCAAAGAGAAAGGAAAAATTGAAATCGCATCATATGACCCCTTTAGGACTTGTGAGTAAAAAAACACTGTTATGATTGGCTAACATCACTGCATTGGCAGTGCTGGACAGTAACTGATTACATGTAATCTGATTACATAATTAGTTTCCAAAAATTAAGCACTTGTAATTATTTTATTACATTTTAGAATGTGCATAATCAGATTACAGTTACTTTATGGATTACACGTTATTCACACAATGGCAGTGATTTATTAAAAAAAACAATATTCTCCCTAAATCTTATTTTTTCAATTTTAATTTACCTTTCTAAAATCCTACCGTGTATCATAACATGTCATGCAAATAAGTGTGTAAACCATGCTTGCTCTAGCACCTCTCAAGCTATTAGACCATGTATGAAACATATAATTATCTAAGTTACTAAACACTGTGTTGTCATTATATCCAGTGCTAACTGCTGATTCTGGAGGTCAGGACAAAATATTTCAAACCTGGAAGATTTTTAGTGTTCAAGTGTTTAAATCATTTTTATGTAACTTTTTATTATTTAATTAATTATTATCACCTCACAAACCCACTGCAGTCCTTACATTAAGTTTGGGAATTCCTGGTGTAAAGTTTAATGCATTTTATGATGTTCATATAAAAAATTGAATATATTTTCTTTCTCTTTACTTTTTTATATTAATATGGTATGTTTAAAACAAGTTTGAAAAAAAGTACATCTAAAAAGTAGTCAGAATAAATGACCTAAAATGTATAACCTAGATTACATTACTAACTACAGTTTTCATCATGTAATCTGTAATCAGTAATGCACTACAGTTCGTAAGTAATACCAGCACTGTGCATAGGAAATACTGTAGTATCAATGCCCCCTCGCTATTGCATGTAATTGTTTTGAAAACATCATCCATATAAAACCAATTCTGAATTTTTTTACTTACAGTTTGCGATGCAGCTGCTGTCAGATTCAATACAGTTGGCTGCTTTATCTGTCAACATAAGTTTCATTGTGAACTCTCTATTACACTGTGCCTCTTTTACAAACCAATCAAATAATCAAATGCTACGAACAAACATATAATACTCAGGCATGATCTGGGAAATTATTAAAAATAATCTATTCACCTCCTGCCACAGAGGTCCTTCTGAAGTCTTTACAGAGACGCAAACGAGCTGTTAAACTGGACGCGTCAAAGAGGATCTTCTTTTAAACTGGCTTCACACTATAGTTTTAGGCCGATTTATCCCCGAGTTACCTGACAATCTGAGAAAAAAATCTTGGCTGAACCTCCAGAAATCCTGTCCAGGATTATGAAATCAGGAGAACAAGGAGAAGCTTTACAGATTGTCTTCTCTCAAAACTCAAACACTCACACACTACAATATTTGAAAATTGTGGCGCATCACACACTACATGGTATTAAGACTATCATTATTCATCTTAATAATATCTTAAGAACTGTGACAGAAATTGTCATGTCCAGTTTATACTTTGCAGAGAAAGAGATGAGTTAACCTCTATTTTGTTACTCAACATAAAAATATAAAAATAAATGCAGTAACATAAACAAACAGAAATAAAACAACAAATATATAATGTAACCTTGAACATGAAAAACAGATGTTATGAGAGCATCCCCATTCTCTCAAAAAATTACACACAAGAAAAACTGATTAAATTTCTCTCTCTATAACGCCACAGAAAAAAATGCTACTGCAAACATAATAATCAATGGACATTTTCTGTTAATATTTACCAAAATAATGCTGCAAATATAGCCGCTGTTGCTGTCTGTCTGGATTAAACCCATTCAAACAGATGGACAGCGCTGGTTCATTTTTAACTATTTGTAGCTTGTTCAACCACATGGCAACGAGATCAAAGTTTTCCAACAGCCATAAGCAAATATATTTGCATATGTGACATCACAAATCCCACAATATCCAAATGAGTTTTATTTAGAGTCTGATAAAATAAATATTTGTTTATAACAAGAAGGAAGTGCAGGATGTTTTCATGGTTAAAAGACCAGACCTCTTGTGTGTCATGTCACACTCTACAAAACTGCTGGGTTGTTTCAACCCAACTTTGGGTCAAATATGGACTAACCCAACCGTTGGGTTAAATTTTTACATAAAATTTTTAACCCAAAAGTTGGGTTAGTCCATATTTGACCCAAAGTTGGGTTGAGACATCCCAGCATTTTTTTAGAGTGCACCTTTAAATCCCTTTAAATGTGTTTCAGCATGTATTTTACACTTTGAATGACAATTATGTTACAAAAGATTCACTCTAAAAAATGCTGGGTTGTTTCAACCCAACTTTGGGTCAAATATGGACTAACCCAACTTTTGGGTTAAAAATTGAATGTAAAAATTTAACCCAACGGTTGGGTTAGTCCATATTTGACCCAAAGGTGGGTTGAAACGACCCAGCATTTTTTAGAGTGTTGAGTCAGAGCTCCAGTTCTCTGATTGGTGGGTACTTCTCTGCAGGATTATGTTTATTTTTTATAACAGACTGATGGCCTATATATCATTGATAACTTGACTTCAGAACTCATAGATCTGTCTTTACAGGCTTCCATTAAACTTTAAAATTAGTTATCAGTTTCCCTATGGAGAAAATGAATGGGATTATCAAATCACACCTCTTTTTAGTAAAGTAAACTTTAGGGAAAAATGTCCTTTTTTTTCTCAGATTAACAATTACTAGACTGAAGTTAAGCGATTTACATTTTTGAAACTCTTTTTCCAAATTATGCACAGACACTGCAGTTGAATGCTGAGAATTTTTTTTTTTATTAGTAAGTCATTAAAACAGATGAACAGCTTCCAGATATTGACACAACTGTGAGTTTATAGAGACTGACACAAATGTGTGACATTGATGTGTGACCTGATCAGAAATGATTATCATTTGCCACTAGCACATTTCCATGAGTATAATATTTGATGGTGTTCCAGTCAAACATGTTTCCCTTCAGCACATTTTTTTTCTGGTTTGTATAAACCGCCCCGTACACACTTAAGACATTAATTTCGCTACGTACACTAGATGTCACTATGGGACTGTTTTAAAGAGGCCGGTCCAATATTTCTAACATCAAGATTTTAGGTTAAAATTTATGTTCACAAAGTCACATTTCTTCAAAGCGTTTCACCACTTTAATTACTATTTAACTTGTATGTAAATTTTTACTCACACCTCTTTTTCTGTCAAGGAAACTTTGGGGGAAAATATTAGGCCTATTTCATCATATTTTTTTTGTGAGAAAACAGTTACTAGACTGAAATTAAATGATTTAGAACATTTTTGAAACTTTTTTCAAATTATGCACAGACACTGCAGTTGTAATGCTGAGAAAAATTTATTTGTTAGCCCTTACAGTTTTGCAAATCATCAACACAGATGAACAGATTATAGAGATTGACACAACTGTGTGATGTTACACCTGATCAGAATCAGTTATTTTGAGCCACCACCATGTCTCCCTTGATCTCATATTTGATGGTGTTCCAGTCGAACAGGTTTCCCTTCGGCACATACGGTTCCTGGTTTGAATAAACCGCCCTAATCTGACTGCCAGAGAGAACATAGTCCCACATTTGCACATCAGAAATTTCTCCTACAAAGCTCTGCTCCGCATCAAAGGTGCTCAAATATGTATCAGCATCTTGGCCGAGCAGGACAGTGCCGCCAGGACGGATTGAGAGACCTTTTCTATAGATCTTGAATAAACTACGACGTCCATCCACCCAGAAGGCAGTGAGACCAGTCTCAGAGTCCCAGGTGACACACAGGTGAGTCTGGAAGGTGGAGAGAGGAGGCAGAAGGAAAAATGCTGCATCACCACTAGACTGAATACGCAAGGCCACGCGACCGTCTTTCTCTCTCCACACGTTGAGTTCATCAACCTCGGGTGTGCGGTAAGTGAAGAGAATGATCTGCCTCTGGCCCTGGAGCTCCGTTGAGACACGCATGCAGAGTGTGAATGCTGAAAGACTCAGTGGCTTTTCAGGAGTGAGTTTAACAAAGCTGGTAGCAGTCTTGGTTGGAAACAGAAGTGCTTTACCACTGAGACCCACTGCAAGACAAAACCAAATGAAACCATAAATATACATATATATATATATATACAGTATATATGCATTTTTTTTTACAATAGACAACTGAAATCCCCCTCACAACATTCCATGTAATCTATAAATGAAAAATGTGGTACCTTCAGTGGCCACTGGTGTCAAAAAGACGAGACAGAAAAATAAACCCAACATCTTGCTGCAGGTCTGAGGGCAAAAAATGCAAAAGAAAATCCATTACTTCTTTTAGCAGATAAACTCTTCACTGCATCTTAAGTGTTCAATCGCTTTTTAGAGACAAAGAAACAAAAGGTTCACAATAAGAATACTTACAATGTTCAACAAGTGTCGTCAGAGAGATGACGACTTCAGATCAGCTGTTTGTCTCCTAGACAGTCGTGATGATCAGCGTCTCGAGTATTTATTAGCAGAATGGGTTGAGCCCAGATTCAGGTAAGAGCCTCCCAGTCATCTTGTTGTTAATAATTAATTTGTTTTAGTTTAACCTGTAAAAGGGAAGCTGACGTGTCCTGCAGTGACATTGCATGCATTGTTATGCAGTTGCTGAATGCAGTTACGGATAAATTTAATGAGATTCATACTATAAAATAACACACAGCAGAACTGCAAATAACGTCATTTAAATGATAAAAACAGATAGCATTTCAGAAATACACACTTTCTTTGTACACTCACATACTTTTTTTTTTTTTTTTGAATTTTAACCTAAAATCTTAGCTTTGCTGTTACAATGATAATATTTCGCTATATCCCTACTTTCTGATAATGACTCATCCACAACAGATCAGTACAATCATGTGTGAAAAATGCCTTCATAGCATATATAGACATAAAATTCATTTAGTTTTGAAATATTTTTCAAATCTCAATGTCTCAAACAAAAAAAATCCATACAGTATATTTTTCTTAGAAAAAAAGAAACAGACTTCAGAAAAAGTCTCCATTAACTCTCCATGTAAATCTCATTGCTGTCCAGGAGAAATAGTTGAGATAGTTTTAAATTAGATGAGCCAAAACATTATGACCACCCATAGATGAATATGGTGAATATGGTTAACCATCTCCTAACAAGGTCACATGTGAAGGTCTGGGTAATATTATATGGTACATGAAGCAGTTCATGTTGTCAGTGTGAGTAATGGGCAGGAATAAAGATCTGGGTGACTTTGACAAAGGCCAAATTGTTGTTGCCAGAAAACTGTGTCAGAACATCTCAGAAACCAACCAACCAACAGTGATTCAAGGGGGGACAAAGCACAAATTGGTGTCAGTGTGTAGGGCATCCAAGGCTCATCGATGCATAAGGCCCTGTTGCCTCTTCCTGCTTCTCCATTCTGTGCAAAGTTTTCTGGTCCATATACGGTTATTCGTCAAGTTTCAGATCAGAATGATCTGATTTCAACTCCTGAACGAAAGCAACGTTCATAGTTGTGCCATGTAAACTTGCTAAAACCTTTTTACTCTGGTTCTAGTGATTTGGAGAAGGTTCCAGTAGCAGTAGCTGTGGCTTCTCCTGTGATGGAAGTTGCAGAGGATGTTAAAGAACCTGGGGATGGTATGTTGCGGCCCCGACTAAATAACTCTGAAGTTTTAAATAACTTGGAGGATTTTGTGCAACATTTGCCTTTTCCTCAGAGAGCTGAGTTGCTAGCTTTGATTTCAGATTTTGCTATGTTGTTCTCAGATTCTCCTTCACGCACTCATTTGATAGAGCACAATATAATGTTGGTAATGCAACACCAATACGTCAGCGTTTTTATCGTGTTTCTTTGGATAAGCAACAATATCTTGAGTCGGAAATTAAATATATGATCGAAAATAACATCGCTAAACCGTCTTTCTCAAGTTGGGCATCACCTTGTTTATTAGTGA